TCTTAGAGATCATTTTCCCTCTCTTATGATTAAAAGACAGGGAACTTCAGGGCTGCCCACTCAGGTAACAGGTAAAGGCTCTGACCAAATTCATTTAGAGCTCATTAAAGGAGACAGGATGGTGGAAACAAAGAAAAAGAGGATGCGTAAAAGTCCTCATGCCATATTTATCCATGCACATAGAATGGCTGTAGGCATCCAGTCATGGCCAAATATGGAATTAGAAGATTAATTCTAGGAGATCCTTTTTAAAAAATCTTGCGAGGAATGTTTGCTGGCTTGATTCCTCTAATTATCCGGCTCCCCAGGGGCAGTAAAGTTTTTAACTACTGGGGACAATATACATTGTTTTTAATCAAAGCTACTAAAATGATGCTTTGCAGAGAGGGCTATACTGCAGAACTGAAATACAGCTAAATGTCTAGATGTCTTAGGGACGCTTAAACACTAGAAGGAATTCTCCTGCTTCTCTGTTCATCCTTAGAAAAGGTCAGAGGGAAATGATTGTTTCTCTCTGCATCACGCTAGGCTTGTAATCTGCACAGCAGAGAAGATGTGCGTATCGAAGAAGAAAAGTGCCCAAGACACTCTCCAGGGAAAATAGCGTCCCATTAGGCTGTGTTTAGAGATACTAAGCACTGCGAAAATTTCTCATGTGAGAAGACATAATTTGGCAGGAATTTCGTCCCACAAATGTGAAAGGATTTGTCTCACGTTCTCGTTCCTCCTTCAGTCCCACTGACCCTTCCAGAGATTTTAATATAATCCCCTTCTTCGACGGTGAATGGTATGCTTTGCCCAAAGGGGACCGTAGTGCTGTCCTCTTCCCAGAGAGTACAGGTTTTAGGTAGAGGAACATGCTACAGGCAAAGTCTGTAAAATTCCTTTGATTTAGGAACGGCTCCTTCCATGCCTTCGGGAATGCCGTGTTTTGCTCTTGGCATAGCAATAGCCTAGGCCTTCTGTTCAGGCTCCTGAGATCAACCCGCCACTGCCCATTGTTTTGGCAACCAGAGAGTAGGAATAGAAATACAAATTTTAAAAAATAAACAATAATAAAATATTTTCCTGGTACTGCTTACCCGCTAAGTACACCGAGAACCAAGTTAAGTACAAAAAATGACCCTATGATGATTAGTGTAACAAAATAGATCCAGGGCCAGTCCCTTCCTATGGCATCATTGACCTGGAAGAGTGGAATGATAATTAGTGAGACAAGCTCAGATTCTGAGCACTGCAAGGCTCCAGCCAAAGAGATCCCAAGTCACCAGCAGTAAGATTTCCAATAGCCATTTTTCTGGAAATTTATGACAGGTTGACATGAGCGATTTTGAATGCCCTGAGGTTGAATTTCTTTGTCAGAGAATCCTACCTCTTTTGTTACCTGTATTGTTATTTGAACATTTTGACAAAATATTTGAGAGCTGATGTGAAGCTTCCTTGGATTCAGATTTTTAATCCTTCTGAAAGAATCCTGGTGACAGGGAAGAACCCTTATTATGGAGTCTTGCCCTGTAGCATTGGAAAAAGGACACCAAAACTGTTGGCTTACCCGCTCAACACACCAAGAACCAGATTTAGAACGAAAAAGGATCCAAAGATGACCAGACTGACAAAATACACCCATGGTAACTCATAGCCCATAGCGTCCTGCATCTGGAAAGACGAAGGAAAGTTAGAAGACAGAGAGGGAAAGCAGAAATGATTAGGCAAAGGAACAGATGGAAAGGTTTGTAAACAGAGCCTGTGGTTGGTTGACACAAAATCATAGCAAGTGTTTCTGCACGTTCTTTCTGGTGTGACCACTCTCTTGATTGTTTTTCCCCTCCAGCTGTTTCCTTACAGGCAGGGATTAATATAGGTTGAGATAGAACCACGGGCCGTACTGACACTTCTTTGGATGCTCAAACTTGTGGACTGTCACTTTCTGGAGTTTACTTACAGCACCACAGGGGTCCGTCAGATGACTTCTAAACCTCTAACCACTGCACATATGTGTGACTCTTCGCTGCCAGCGAAAATATTGTGAGTTTCTGCCAAGCATTGCCACAGTGTGTTGTTGGATCACGTTTACTTCCTATGTGTGGCACAGGTACACCTATCCAGAGAGAAACATGTGGCAACTGTGGGCAAATACTGATCTTTCCCTGGCAAGGCTCTGCAGACCTCCACACAGGCCTTTGAGGAAGGTTCTTTCAAGTTCCACCGTGTTCTGACCTGGTCAAGCGTTTTCTAAAGCTTTCTCACAAACTTCCTTTCTCTCCTTGAAGGATGAATCTCTCCTTCAACATGTGATTCCTACACAACTGAATAGTCAGAGAATTTGGGACCGTAAACTGAACGATATGAGCACAGGTTTGGCTTTCACACCACTACAGGCACCTACAAATGAAGCAGGCAGACTATTGTTTTAGCACCAGAACCTGTACTATGTGTAGAGCAACTCTAGCACATAATAAGATATCATATATATTGTAAAAGCATCTAGTACATAAACACTATTTTATCTTGAAGCCTCCTTCAAAGTTCAACATTTTGGAAAATTGCTGGATACCTTAACAGAATCTCACTTTCATGATGGTATCAAAAATACCAGAGTCTCTTCTTTACTTTTTATAAACACTTATCTCCTGAGCCAGACATAGCATCATTAAAGAAAAAGATGGTGGTTAACATTTTCTGGAGCACTAAAATGATTTATGAACGTAAATTGAAGACTTGAAAGTACCTAAAAGCATAAAGCAGCTTAGGTTCCTTTGTTTTCCACGCTTTTGAAAATTCTACCGTTTGCAGTCCTCTCCTTCCAGGAAAACGCTGTCTCCTTTGCAATCTAAGCATTTGTTGTGATCACAGAAGAAATATTCTTCCATACATGGGCACCGAGACACACTTTAGGGGAGGCGATCTGACTCAAGATTCGTAACAACTCAGGAAAGGAATTTCGGACCTTCAGTAAGACAAGGCAGGAGAGTAACACTAATATAATCCGTTCTTTGTGGATGGAAGTCCATTATCCATTTTTCTTTCAAAGTACAGTCACTAACGGCCTTGTCTGGCAACAGTCCACAGTCAATGGGCTGATCCAGAACTCCACCTCTGGGCTCCTTCAGCTGCACCTGAAGTGGACTCATTAAAAAATAAGCTCAAAATCTGTCTCTGTGAAACCAGTTCATCAGATCGTTCCTCACAGGATTAATAACTTTGGTGGCCAGACGAGAGTGTCTGAACACCTCTCTTCACGAATCCAAGAGTCCTCTAGCATTCCCTAAGCATATTAACCAGATTCCCTTGTAATACTTTTGTAGAACTGTTCAGTTAGTTTATAAATAATACTAATTATTCTTTATGTTTGCAAGCCACATTTCATCCCTCATGACCAAAAAGTAGACACGTCTGGTGTGAAACACATCAGTGCTTTAAAGAGAACAAAATATGTTAACACATCAGTGCTTTAAAGAGAACAAAATATCATAGTACATAAGGATGGAAGCAAATATTCACCTGAAATCGCATTAGAGAAATCAGGCAGGAGAAATATAACTACTCAAGCTGGAATTAGGTAAAGAAATGAGACTTAACATCCTCTTTCTATACTGGAGTACGGTGTACTCCGGCTATTCCCAATGCCAGCACAATCACGTAATGATTGTACCGGCTACCATCAGCACAAATTAGTCCTGAAAAATAGAACTGCGTTCTGGTACAGCAGAGCATTTGGGACTTCTCAGACAGAACGTTTAGGAGGTCAGCTTTTCATCTCCTTCTTATTGCCCAGTCATATACGTAACAGAGAAGCTGAAAGGCAGAGGGCAGTGATGGCTTCTCAAGTGTAGAGAAACCATCAGTATTTGGCAGACAGCTGAGTACTTAATGTCTCTCTCTTGCTGGACTCCCTGTGTTTGGTGCTCTCACATCTCATTTTCTTTAGTAGAAGGAGAGATTATTCCATATATTGTGGGACTGTGCCACAGGCGACAAGAATGTATGTTATGAGTTGATGTAACATTAGCTACTTGGTAAATTACGTTAAAAAAACCCAGGATGGACAGTCCTCAACCGACCAATGCTCCCAATACAGTTATCACTCAAAACCTTGCACCTGTGTTTGAAACTGCTTCCCGAAAACTTATCATCATCCCGTAAACGTGTCGCTATTAATCATAGGTGTATGCATACACATGTCCTGCTGACTGCAGCTGGAGCCTTTCACTGCAAGCGTAACTCAGGTGGTGGAGCTGATTTTTCCTAATTATGCTATTGAAGTGGAGAAGCTTCAGAGGGTCACGAGAAGATCAGGAGTGTTGGTGTTTGCACACTGCTGAGTGCAGAAAATGAGGTCTGCAAAATATATTTTGTACTGCTGTTTACAGTGAACAGAAAAGGGTTCAGTTGCAGGATACCTCTTTAGGATGGACAGTACAACTCCTGGCAGACAGTTAGCTCTCTGGTCACTGAGTGTACTTCTTCCTAACTGTTTACTATTAACCATATGGATCTCAACAGAAAAGGTGGATCATCTTCTAAATTTACAGTTCTGAACAAAGACTATCAGCCAGTGTCGGTGTGAATTATAATATTCCAGCTACAGTAGTCGAGGTGATTGCAACCTGACGTCAACTTAAGCATGTGTAGGACAATTGTTAGGTCAGCTGGAAGGACAGCATTGGTGGGAACCTGCAGATTGTCATTTACAGAAATAATTTTGCTTTCTGAGTCAAACTGCCTGACCTTTCCCAGGTCATATCTCAACCCTCACGTCTCACTACTCTCAACAGTGAGAAAGTTGGTACATTTCTGAACATTAATGCATCATTTCTCAGAGACCTCAGAAATAAGGATCTTGGATTCCTTCTCATGATTTGCTACATATCCTCTCTGGCACCATCGGGACATTATTTTGGCTCACTTGGTTTGAACTTTCCAACCTGCAAAGTGGGATACTACCTTGCCTCACTAGGGACTGTCAAAGAAACCACCCAGCATCATGACAAAAAGAGGGTATTTCAGCATATTTGAGGTCTGATGGATTTTGTGCACTAGGGAAGAGCTCTTCCTTCGCCAAGCATCCTTAATTGCCATCACGACTTTAGCATTTCAATGTCCAGATGAAGGCCTTCCTCTCAACGATACAGATAATATCCTAGAAATAACACCAGGATTTTTAATTCTGTAGTTTGCTGACCGACAAATACAACCATCAGTTTCAGTAAGGGCCAAGGAATAAAAGTCTATTTACCTTTATAAATAGACCTTTGTGTCTATGTCTTCTGGTTCTTCAGAACTAGACGAAGACATATTGGTAAAGCCACAGGAAATACACATGCTTTACTTGTTTAGAGAAATTTTTTTTTTTCCCTGGGGATAATAGCCTGGCATGTTTTGTGGGTATCTCATTTGTTACACAGGCATCATTGTTCAAAGACCATGTTAAAGGCATATTATCTATTAACAGACAGATAATCTGATATAGATAATAGATAATTCAGCTCACCAAGCACATAGCAGAGGTCTTTCGGTCACTTAATGGGAGGAGTAGACACAATTCACTAAATTCCGCTGACTTTACAATTCTCACACCCACACTCTGATAACTTTGTGCCAAATGTCTTTTGAAAATTAACTGAAAGTTAGAGGAAAAGTTCAATTCATCATAGACGGGCAGCTGTCGCTGGGCTGGAAAGCAGCAAGCTGAAGGTAAAAATGAAACCTGTCTTGTTCCGCACACAGTACTGGAGAGCTCCAGCTTAATGGGAAGTTAGTTAGCTACGACACCAGGCGCAGGCTTCCATTTCTTGAATCAATTGCTAATTGATTTCTAATGACTATAGAATGTTGTGATAGCCTTTTTTAAACACAAGTCAAGTGCTTCAAGTATTCTATAACAAAGTGTATAACCTTTCCCAGAGTAACATTAATCAAGAGGAGCCGAGCACTCAATAAAATTAAAGGGCAGTACGTTTGAAAATTTTGTGTAGAAATGTTATTTTATGCAGCCTGTCTGTGGACTTCACTGCCTCAGGAAATGATCTAGCCAGACGTAATGGTTACGGCCAGCGGCAAGATCCCTAGTGGAAACCAAATCTTTCTTGTAATGATGGAAAATTGGAGAATATTGGGAGCGGGAGAGAGCAGAAAGAAGATATAACACTTAATTGTTGCTGAATTTATCTTCCTGTTCAAGCCTTCATTTTGCAAACCACCTTTTTTCAGGAAGAGAACTTGGGCACCTTCATAACTTTAGGAACATGTAGAAGTGATTTCCTCAGCTTAGATCAAAGATCAGTGGGAGTCTACTGGTAGGCATGGCTCAGGTGGTACATAAAAGGCCATGCCTACACTAATGTGAGATTTACATTTGTATCACTGATCAATTACAAAGTAAAGAGGTCTGGATTAAATAATCAATTTTCCTTTCCCACTCCTCCTTTCCTTCTCTTGCCGTGAATATCCGGATGAATGCATTTCATTCACACACAGAATCATGGAACTACAACTTTAAACTCTACTTAAACAACACTAGAAGGACAGAACTTCACCCTTCACAGCTAAGGTTGGGTTAACAACACTAAAAAAAAAATAAAATTAATCTACATTATAGACAGTCAGTAAATCCTACATCCCAGGCAACGGCTATGTGGCCTCAAAAGGAAAGTACT